GCACGCTGGCAAAAGAGTAGCGAGAAAGAAAAGAAATAATGCAATATGTCTAAAATGAAAATACGGCTCAGAATAAATCAGTTTTGGTTCAGGTTTATCACTATCGGTAACTAAAATTGTAAGGATCTTAAGTTTTACTAACGTTTATTTTATTTTAAATCTTTACTATCACTTCTTATTTTCTACTTCCGGCCAGAATTGAAAGCTTTAACTTATTTATGCAAATTTGCTTGCGAACGCCAAGTTACTTAAGTTGTGGCTTTTTGCCAAGCAAGAGAGAGGAAGGAGCTATTAGAAGCAGGCCGCTTGCCATAGTAGTTTTACTCGGTTGCTGGTTGCCTTCAAGGCCAGAGGTTTAATCCTCTTGATAATTTTTAAACGTATCGTAGTGTTAGCAGTTCTCTGTACTACATACGGCTTTTGCTAATATACGGCCAATCTTGGAGTAGGCACTTGTTTGATTAATCCAAAGTTAAGTTTAGTTAGAGTTTAGCTAATAATTTTATATTCTTACGTTCAGACCACAAGTGGTTGGTCTCTGTATTCCGAAGTCCGGAAATCATTGTAAAGAGAGAAAAATAAAGGGTTTCGTATACCCTTCCTGTGTGTATTGTCTACTTCCCAAATTTATTAAACATAGTTTTAGTAAGCTCCCTGTTCTGAGTCAGGACATTTAATGCTCCCAAAGCAAGTAAAGAGGAACGCACAACCTGATAAAATTTACAGCATCAAAATTTAAAATTATTATTAGCTAAAGTTTTATATACGTATATGCATAATAATTAGTAATAATTATGTAAGTGCATTCGTAATCATCAATAATAATCACGCGAGTGCTTATAATAATCACGTGAAGCAGATAAATTTTGAAATGGCACAATTTATACAGAGATTTAGTATAAATGCAGTAACTATTTTTAGGATGGAAAGGGCAAATTAAAATGGCGAGCTAAGGGACTATTCCAGATTAAAGTCAGAATTTCGATTCGTATATCTTTATACATATGTAAAATATAAAAATCCGAAACAAAACTATTAAACTTAAATTGAATCAGCTGGCAACAGACCTTCAAATTCATAAATTTTAATTAAACATATTCGCGTTTCAAAGATGCGATTTTGCGTCACTCTGCCGCATGTTACGTCATTTTTTCTCTGCAGTTTCTTTGCACTGCGACATCTTTAGCTCAATCACTGCTCAATTTTAACGTAAAGACTGTCCGAATTATCAATGCGACCGAAGGCAATACGCATTATTTTTTTCTCTCCTGCTGCTGCTTAAATTAACCACATCTTTCGCTTTGCCTTCTTTATTTATTATTTGAAATGTAAACTTCGTATATGGAAATTCTATGACGTGTTTAACACCCTTAATGTTGTACCAGTTTTAAGCAAAAGTGCATTTCTGAATAATTGTTCCTGTGAAAAATAAATATGATGTTCGTCAAGTCAGCTGTGATTTTTGTACGAATCTTCGTCTAAGTAACAGTCTTCTCAGCCACGACTAAAGAAAGAATGAACGGGTTTCATCTTCCGCAAAAGAACAACACCACACACACACATATATATATGTAATAATGTAAACTTAGATGTAATGTCATAGAAATATATAGGAAAGTTGATTGAATAGATATTGGCGAGAAAAGAGGTAGAAGCAAAGTGTGCAGGTATCCAGAATGACAGCTTATTAAAGGAAGTGTCGGCTCTTTAAATTTTCAGTTAAGCTCTTAGCTACGTCATCATCTCTGCGTAAAAGTCATATGACAGGATTAATCTAGAAATGACGCCATCCAGAAAAGAGATATTACTGATTTTTGAATATAGAAGGAAATCATCCAAATTAAAATGAAGAATTAAGGGGTTATTGCTAATTTAAATTATAATTAAATTTAATTAGTCGGACAGCATACCTCAAGTGCAAAATGGAAAATTTACTCCTCATTTTAAAATTTATTCGGCCACCTCTTCAGTATTTAAAAATGATAAAAAAAAGTGTTCATGATTTAATGCTTCAAGAGATCAAGCATTACTGTCGATTTCAAGATCATGAAGTTACACAAAAAGTGCTTTAAACTGCCTGTTCAAAGCGATGCTCAATTGTTACAGCGTACTCTCTATTAACCAGACTATTGCAGAGCAAGCAGGTCATGGATAACTAAAAAACACGGATAATCCTAATTGTCAGTATTCATACATATTGTATTTGTCCATTTCTTATAAAAATCAGTAATTTTTGAGAACTTTGTTTTTGAGAGTGTTTAAATAGTTGAAGAATTTCACTGCATATTTTTCGAAGTGTGATTTTATCTTTTTGTTCGAATTCCCTTTGATCGAAGAAGTATAACAGAATCATTGCTGTCTAGGGATTAATGTAATAGTCAGTATCTTTTTCACTTGTATTTTCAGTATCACCCTGTTCCTTTCTGTTGATCTGATACGATATTCTCATCACTCAAGCACTGAATGTGCGACTCAGTCGAGTCGTCATTGAACCATTCCTCGATGTTTTTTTCCCAATCGATATTTTTGAAAAAGTTTTATATTTTCTTTTCTTTTCTTTTTCTTTTTTTTTTTTTTTTTTTTTTTTTTTTTGCATGTAACTTTAGTTATTACATCGACTTCTTCAACATTAGATAAATCTCCGATTTCTCTATTATGAAGAATTTTTTCCATGCTTGGATTTGCGTGTGTTTGTTTTCTACACACATTGATTGTGAGTCATAGCCTTAAATGTGTATCCCCGGGCACCGCCAAGCACGCATAATTCGCAAACCGGATAACCCGCATACGGATAATTGAGACTATACTGTAGTGTTTTGAGCGAATACATGTTCAAAAACAAAGGTTTGTTTTTACATGCGTATAACAGTTTCTTTTACTCTTCTTATAATATATAAATATTTAAAGGCTCTCAAATGATGAAAAACTGGAATTTTTTAATTATAATAACTTTTATTTTTTCATATACCAGCGCATGCTTTTATTTTTTATATGTAATGCTTCAGTGCAGTTCACAAAGACCAGTTACCTTATGTAAGGAACGGAGGTAATTGCCAATCATCCCTTTATAATGTATTTCTTCCGCCTTCTTAGCGAGTCTTTGTGGTGTAGTGGTCTGCACGCTCAGCGCATAATTGAGAGGTCTGCCGTTCGATTCCCGGCGAAGGCTTTGCTAATTTCTCATCTTTATTGCTTCCAAAAAATACCTAATGTCTCTGCAGTGGTACCCGAATTAAAAAAAGGGAGGGCGGATGATGAGTCTCCTCACCCAGGATTTGGAAACTGAGTCCCCTAAAAATCCCAGTTGCTCTTTAAAAGAGGGAGTATATAAGGTATTGCTCCCGCCTTCTTAGCGAGCCTTCGTGGTGTAGCGGTCTGCACGCTCATTGAGAGGTCCGGGTTCGATTCCCGGCGAAAGGGTTGCTAATTTTTCATCTCTCACCTACTACTGCTTTAACCCTTTTTCTCTAAAAACGATTCTGTGTAGCTAAGTCTTTTTCTCTTTAAAGGGGAATAGGTAAGCTAAAAAAATATGTGTAAGATAAAAAAATAAAGCTCAAAATTATTAACTTTAATTTATCTTTTTATTTTGCTGGTTTTAATTTGGCCACACCCCTTGTCTGGAATATAAAGTGCGTCCTATGAAAATTAATCTGTTTCGTCTTTATGTAATCATGCATCAGTGTGACACCTCTTGTCCAGTCGGAGTAAAGGAATTTTTTTGCTAAGAATACAACTGATATTATTTTCACTCCATTTTTCTCTCTTCTGCTTACTACTGGCAACTTGCGTGTTCTCGTTATGCTGCTTTGTCCATTGTTCTAAAGATATACTCCTTTGTATGAAAGTGTGGAGGGTGCGACAAGAACCCAAAATGATGTATGAACACGTTCGTGCATACTAGAAATGTCTGCGAATAAACTAATATATTGTGTTGTGGGTCGAAATGGCGCATTGAGGTGATACAGGGTACTGTTGAGTGATAGATAAAATCATTTTGTTGGCGTAATTTTCCATACGCGTCCGGAGATTTCGACCATCATGCAACGCTACATGGATCTTGCCAATATGCATTTTATCAGTGAGGCTACGGGCGGAAACGGAGGAAAGACACTCAAAGGAGGTACACGGAAATCGTCCTTTGTACTTCTTTGAAGAGCTGTTCCGACTTTAGCCGCAGTCCCATAGGTAAAATGTGTGTCGACGAACTCCGTTTCTTGATGGAGGGTATTGAAAAATGTATAAAATTAAATTGTACAAGGTTCCTAAGTATGTACAATTTCGGCTCTTTTTATTATAAAATTAGGTTATTTTATTAAACATTAATTTGCAATAAATTGAGTAAAATGAACAATTTTGAATTTAAGAATCATCTCATCATATTCATTTAAGAATTAAACATTTTACTTTATACATTAAAATTTTGATGACATTTTGAAATTACGTTTTTTAAGGGATCTTCGGTATTTGCCCTTTTTAGAACTACCAATTCCTTTATAAGTGTATATACGGACTCCAGTGTAGTATAAGTGTATATACGGACTTTATCGCCATTCTCTTTTTTTAGTTGTTTCTATATTTGATATGTATTAAGAAGAAATGATGTTTTCTTTGCAAACTATAAATTAGTTTCTTGAATATAAATAGCTTAATTTGCCATGCTCAGAGCTTAAAGTATAAGGACTTTTAAATATGATGACTTAATCAATAGTAAATATGTATCTTCCACCTCTGTATCCTCGTCTACACCTACAGCATGAAATTTTAGTGGTATACTATTTATCAGTTTGCACGATCTGACTTATCTGATATGACTTGGTTTTATGTGTGCAAGGAGAGAGATCGGATTCAGCCTTAAAAGTAAAATTACTAGTACTTTAGAAGTTCCCTATTAAATACCCTCATATCCTCACCTTTCTATATTTAAGGAATCTCTTATTTTTAATGGGATGCATGCTTTGCTTGACATTATACTAAAAAATTAGATAACGGAACAAAAATGCACTTAGAAAATAATAAATTTATTTCATTATTTTCTAGAAATAGTTCCACTAATAATTTTTTTCTTCCTGCTGACAACAAAATTCGTAAATTTCTTTGAAGGCGTTTTCTTTGAAGGCGAATACTTTTTGTTTTTGACACAGACAAGGCCAAATGCTAGCAGTCATAATCACATGAATAGTCATGCGATACAACATATTTCTGTGGAACGCTCACAACCTTGATAGTTTGCACAGGGTATGTGACAATTTTTACTGGGCGAACATATTCGTATTTTGGGTATTCTTTTTTTTGGTAGATAACTCCAGCTACAGCCACTCCGATAACAAGAAGAAAAACCTAGAACAAAAATACTAAAATTAAAGTTGTTAAAAAAGTATAGGAACAAAATATTTTTTGGAAAATTATTTTGAAAAAGCAACTTCCTCAAAATTATATGTACTAGCTGAATCTTCGTGAAAACTACTGTTAAAATTTTTGTATTTATTTCTATTAGGAAATGCAATTCGTTCCGTTTAATTTTACAAGTAATCTTCATGGACACGAGTGTATTTCTATATAAAATTTGATGGACATTAGGTGGACAAATTTGGTGAGACAAAAATTCTTCCTCATACTGTCTTTTATTTTTCTGATGTTTTCACAGGGTTCGTTTTAAGAACATGAAACACAAGGTATGAAAGGGGAAAAATTGTGATGAAAAAAAAATTTATTTAATTTGTTTAACTATTTATCTATTAATTTCATTTTACAGCTTTACTTTAGCTGAACGAATTTTAACAATTTATTGCACCTCTACTACTCATACAACTTTGGATTTTGCAATAGCTTGATATATCACTTCTTATATCTCATTTTAGATCGAATAAAAAGTTTTCTACTTTCTTTCATGTTTAAAAAGGAAATACTCGGTTGGTTTTCAGAAATTTAGAAGTCTCCAATAGGAGAAAATTACTGAAGGAATTCTCAGTGTCACTTTTCAGTACTGATGCAACTTATTAGAGTGGGAACTTAGAGTAGCCTCTAGACAGTGAAAAGGGTTAAAATTCGTTTTTGAAATATTTCAATATTTTTAAATAATGTAAATTTTAATTTTGAATAATAATAAGTTAAATGACTTATATCTTGTCAAAGGGCAACAGTGCTGAGCACTTGCAATCTGCAGGTCTGCATAAAAATTATTTGCAAAGTGGCGTGCATGGTTACCGATAAGTGATGATATGCCTGTGAAATAAATGAGCCTTAAATATACATCGTAGACACAAAACTCCTTACCCAGCCTTATTTTTGCAAAAATCGGTCGTAGACATGCATTTCCAATTGCAAAAATGTTTTAAAATAATGCAAATATTCCCATTTTTAATTTTTAAATTTAAAGAAATCAGTTTTGATTAAAATAAAAGAAATAACTTTTTACTCGTTCATCCCGTCCTTGTATTTATGTTTAAGAAAATTTTATTCGCTTTGTGAAAAATAAAACACAAAAAGTGTGATCCGTAGAACAAGAATTGCCCAAGATATTTGATATTAAATCGGAGACATAAACAGGGTCGTACATAAATTGTTTGCATACATGCATAACTAAAAATAAAACATCAGTTTCAAATAACTGTTTCGGATATTAAGAGATTAAATGATGAGTATTTCAGAGAAAAATATGGATCAGTATAAGGCTTTTCAAAATGGAGATCTGATTCATAGAATCTTATAGAATTTGTGGCCTAGAAATCATAGGCAGGCTTCACTATTGGTATTTGACCAACTCGTATTATTATTTGCATTAATTAAAAGGGAGAAGATTTTCACATTAAAGAATTTGGTACAATTGCCAGATTATGATTTTAAAGTGACAGAATTTCACGAGAATATTAATAACATGGTTGTAGACTTCGAAAACATATAAGTTGCTTTTGTGAAAATTCTTTCCGCATACCAGATGTAACAAAACTGTAAATTAAAAAACGCTAGTAAATCTCAAAAGAATATAATTTAATCAACCTCGAATTATTCTCATTTATTTATTAATCTTCTCGGTTAATGCAAATTCAAAATAGCTGAAAGGAAACTGAATGTGATGTGAAAAATCAAAAATTTTGAAATTAAATTAAATATCTCGGTTAGTTTTTGTCGTAGGAAGTGAAACTTTTTTTAACGCGTATAACAGTTTCCTGACCTATGATACTTTCCTAAGTATGAAGATTTCATAATTCTAATAAAAGCTAAATTCTTTAAATTAAAAAATAGGAAAACCTAAATAATATAAAAGCAAAAATCTTTGAGTCATTTAAAACACTTTTGTAACTGGAAGTATATGTTTACGACCAGCGATTGTGAATATAAAAGTTAAGCATTTACGCAAACACGGTATATATAGCGCATTATCCTAGTTAATTTTTCTATGTAAATTAAGTAAAATAAAAGGGAAAATTAAAAATGTTGGTAAATTAAACAAGTTTAAATTTACGTTGTTCCGGAAAAAAAAATTCCATTTACTTAGCACATGAATAAAAGCACAGTATTTTAATTCTAACTACCAGGAAAAGAAAATTAGTGGCTTAAGTTTCGTTGCTGTAAATGAAATATTTTAACTAAATGAATGTTTTGCAAAAATGCCAAAAGAGAAGTTTATTTTTCTTATATGAACTGACAGTATTTAATAATGATGCAGAAAAAATATTTACAATGTAAATAATATTCCTTTGTATGTTTCTTCATCTAATGTAAACAATTTTTCTCCCTTAATATTATAATAACTTCAGAAATACTTTGTATGTATAAATAAAATGCCCTAGAATTTTTTCCAAAATTAAATTTCTTTTTAAGTGTTCATATAGTATTTGAAGCATGGGTACAAAATAATGAAAATGCATTCAGACTGTTGTTTAGTAAAATTTAACTCGTTCATAATTAATCTTAAATAAATATTTCATTTAAATACATTATATGAAATCATATAAATATTATAATTCATTCAAATCATATTTATAAATATATATTTCATTTAACGTAAAGTGATTTTATTTAACCATTAAAATCGTGTTTGTTCAATCAACTTTTTAATTATATTTAAATTTTCCGTTATATGTAAAGAGTATATGTATTAAAAATATTGCTGAGTTAAATGCTGAAAACTTATAATGCTTACCATGAATTTGAGCATGTTGTCTAATATAGTGAACGTTCAAATCTGAGACTGTTGAGAGGGAAATTCCGGCGTCTCTGCTGAGAATGAACAAAGAAGTCGTAAAAACCCTTTTATAATGGGCACCAACTTGCCAGAAAAATCTCGAAACCTAAAACAAACCCACTTAACGTTTTTATCTATCCTTTGAACCGATAGTTGGAATATTCGGAAAATTTGATCTATTTTCCGTTTGTCATTTTCAGAGATGTAGATAAAATATCGCAGCTCTGTATAATGATCTATTTATGTTATTAATTAGTGCTATTACGAAATGTATATTACATTATGTTATTTTTGAATATCATGAAATATTATCAGTTACCACAAATAATCGTCGGAGCTATATCTCGATATCCTGCTTAAATTATGCACCGGCATGTAAATGTTTTAGAATAAATTCTTAAAAATAATCTTCATATCTTTATATCAGCAAACAATAATGTAAATATGTTTGTACTTGTAGCGAGGAATCAAAGCGGGTGAAATATTCACTACTAGATCGCAGATTTTGTAGAACATTGAGAGGAAGAAATAAAATAAAATAACGGTAAAATCTGATATATAAATGCAAAAACTTGAACAAAATTTTTCTCTCTGCATTGCTGTGATCATTTTGATCTCTGTATTATATGAATAAATGTAACGAAAAGATGAATGTCACAGAAATTTAATTTTAAAGAAAATAGCAGTAAACAATAACAGGTGGGCCGTGACCGAGCAGTGAGTTGTAAAATTATTTTTGTTGAGCAGACAAAAAAATTTAACCTTTTTGTTTGCGTTTACGTTTATATATTTAAGTATTTATATATATTTATACTTATTTAAATTTGTTAGATAACTGCTGATAAATATTCATAATTATTTATTAATTATAAATTATAACATTTTTCTATTTCTGGATTCCGTCTTTTTATTCCTTTCTTCTACAAGCTAAACCACAAAAAACATTGAATAAGGGAGGGGAGATGAAATGTTCTATTATTAACATTAAAAATGCCTTTTTACGCCTAAAATTAAAATGTAACCTGATAGCTAAGAGAAAATTCAGGTAAAATATTTAAACCATAACATAAAATGTTTACAAATTGAGCATTAGATAAAGTATTAAATGTTTGGTATAAAGCATGGTATTAAATTTACAGTTAAAATAAATTACCAATTTTTCGCTTTCTTTGAGGTTTACATTTTAGTACAGAGATTTCACGGAAACAAAATAAGGAAAAGAAACTGCTTAATTTGGTGCCCTATCTGCATTGTTTGGGCTTAAATATACAGGGAAAATATTTAATTTCAAAATAATTCTCTCAGTTTTTTGTTTTAAAGCGTTTATTTACAGTTTTGAACGTTACTTTTGGAAAACATTTAAATTTTATTCATTCCATATGACATACCAGAGGCCGAACGGTAAAAGTCGCTGAACGCTGGTAGTTCGGTCCGGAGTTCAAATCCCGGTGAGCGTACAGGCTGGAGTTTTCGTGGTTTTCATTATGTGTAACGTATATATGGCCCAGTTTCTCTTAAAGTCCTCCACGAAGGTATCTCTTCCCTTAGGCAAATAGCCCTCGAGTGTTTTGTCATAACTAAAACCATACAACCCAATCATTATATATGTATGTCGCGCTGACATTGCATGTGAGCGATCTCATTGTTTCTTATGTATGTATATGTGATGCTATCATTTTTTATAACCAAGTAAACGCATGACAAAAAGCCAATTCATGCAGAAGTAGATACATGCTGGCGAAGTGAAGGTGCATAACATATAATAGCAATCATATTGGTCGATTTAACGCTTTTTCTTTATTCCTGAGAAGCACATTTTTAACACGAATACAAAGCGTAATGACGTAATCTGCGTGACCACCTTGATCACATTCGTGCCTTTTGTCTTTAGGTTTGGTTTGGTTTATTCAATTATGGCAAAGCACACTAGGGATATCTGCCTAAGGGAAGGGATGCGTTCGTGGAGGACGTTCTAAGGGAAACTGGCTCGCATACACGTTACACATGGGGAAAACCACGAAAACGCCTATGCAGCCAGCCCGTGCGCGGGATTCCAACCTCGGACCGAACTACCAAAGTTCAGCGACTTTACCGCTCGGGGGCCTCCTTTTGTCTTTAGAACAACTGATTTCGATTCAGGCAAGAGCAATAGGAAGCAGCACGTTGAAAGAAGAGTAGCGAGAGAGAAAGAATGCAATGTGTCTGACATGAAAATACAATTTAGAATAAATCAACTTTGTTTCATGTTTACTCTTAGTGGTGGCTAAAATTTATGGCACCAAAATTTAAAATTATTATTGTCTGAAGCGTATATAAGAATCTGCGTCATTAGCTTTAGCCCACCAGCAGCCGAGCGTTAAAGACGCTGAACACTGGTAGTTCGATCCGAGGTTCGAATTCCGTGAACGGGCTGGCTGCATGGGCGTTTTCGTTGTTTTTCCCCATGTGTAACGTGTATACGAGCCAGTTTCCCTTAGAAAGTCCTCCACGAATTCATCCCTCCCTTAAGGCAGATAGCCCTCGTGTGCTTTGCCATAATTGAATAACCCATAACCCATTAGTTTTATGCATAATAATCATGTGAGGAGAATTAGTTTTGAAATAACGTTAATTTATGAAACTAAAGTTTAAAATTATTGACTGAAGCTTATAAACCTAAGAACCTGCGTCATTAGCTTTATGTATAATAATCATGCGAGGAGAATTAATTTTGGAATAACGTAATTTAAAGACATTTGTTATTATAAGCAATAAATATCGTTAGGATGGAAAGGGGAGATAACGGAATTAAATTGGAGAGTTAAAATACTATTCCAAATTAAAATTAGAATTTGATATGCACATATATATATGTAAACGCTCTTGTACACACACACACACACACACACACCTGTAAGAAAAAAAAGAAAATTTCACTTACAGTATCAGCATACGGCCTGATTTGCTCATAATCCATCATTTCTTTTACGCAGAAATATCAAATGCTGTATCATAATATTACTCAAATATTATGATTAGCAAATAGCAGAAAACAGTGATTAGCTACTAGCAAATGGCAGAAAACAATGATTAGCTACTAGCACGTAGCAAAAACATCAAATGTTGTATCGCAATATTACTTTAAATTATTATTATTATTATTATTACTTTTAAGAACTTACATTATGATTTATTTATTACGTTTAAAAATTTACTACATTTACTTTTAATTAACACACACATATTAAAAGTGTTAACTTTTAAATATATTTATTTATTTAAAAACTTAATTATTATTATTTTTAAATTATACATTTAAAAATTAAGCGCGTCTTTCTTTATGTAGTAGTGAGTTCTTATTATTTTATATTTAACTAACAGAAAACTTTTTTAGTTTCTAAGCCCTGCAAGAATGAATAATAAAATTTTTGCGAGTGGCTTCTGAGATCTATCAGAACGATTTTAAGAGCATTCAGAATTGAATATATGCAAATTATTAATCAAATTTGTGAATCTATTGGTAGTGCCTCAGTGTCGAATAGTTTCGTATTGCGGTGATCTTGCTACAGTATTCATACCTGAAAATTTCCGAAGGAGACGAAACAAGAAATATACGCTGAATTACACAAATTATTAATCTTTATGTCGTTACGTATTTGCAGTAATCAGAATAGACACAAGAAAATGGAAAAATAGCATCACGTAAAAATATAAGCACCAAACATCATTACTATTTCATTAAAAGCTGAGGATTTCTTCAGTTGGTCAGCTTGTAAGGTTTATTCTAAGTTTTTAACAGTTATCTTTAGTTAAAGATACTTTCCTGTCTCTCCTAATTTCAGCTTACAATTTCCTACCAGAATGTGATTTAGAAATCGCGGTTAATGCAAATGAGTGGTATTCGAAGTTCTATTTACTTAGTGAGACAGCCAGAGTTTCTGACTAGCGCGCGTTCGCCTTTTGGCTAAGTCTCTCGCTAAGCTATTACTACGCTTGGCCGTATTTTAGGTCTTTGATAGCTTCGCCAGCTTATTTGATATTTAAGCGCCAATTACTTGGAAATTTTGATAGGTTCGGCTATATCTTTTAGTTAAGCATTAGTTAGGTTTTATTTCTTATTATTTTGAGTTCAAGCCCAAGTGGAGGCTTTGATGTATGCTCTGAGAAAGGAGCCGACTGTCCAATTCTTATTTGGAATAATAAAAGGTAATTAACCCATCTTGAGTTTTACGTCTCTGTTACCGAACTCAAGCGATTATTCGCTTAACTGTTCACGAGGTTCGTACACATTTAGCTGTTAGATAAAAGAGTGGAACCACACAAGCTGAATATATGTATTTTCACAGCTGAACAATAGTTTGCTTAGTGAAAAAAATCACGAACAGGGTAGGATCAAAAGACAGAACGAAAATACTTCCTTACGGAAGTTAAATTTTATTTAGATAGAGACAGATTTTAAAGTGCCTATGCTCATGCGGGATTGTTTATTTTCACCACTGCAAACGAAAGGCCTAGATATATCTACGAGAGCGAAAATTATGTAGTAAGAAACTTTTCCCAGAAACATGTTCCTCTCGGAGTATAAAGGCAGAGAAGAAGAACCTCCGTTGATCAACTGAAGTTTCGAGCTCAATTTTTACCCCAATAAAAATCATAATAAATAAAATGTTCCGTTTACATAGAAGAAACAAATCGCTGAACGCAAGATTTTCCTCAAAATTGCGTTTGAAAATCTGCTGGGTTTAAACCTGAAATTTCAAAGTTCCTCAAAATGTCATGAATAAATGATATTTTCTTGATTATAATTAAAAAAACGACTCTCTTAATTTGATTCCTTTTCTTCCAATGAACATCCAACCTGAAATCGGATGCACTGAAAGCTGGCAGAAATTTTCATATGTTTATGAATACCAAACTACCTTTTCTACTCCGAATTTAGTGTCCATTTACGCTAAGAGAACTAGATAAAATGCTTTTCTCGGAAAAACGCAATTTTTTTTTATTGGCTAACTGACGGGTATTTTGCTAACGAAGCATTTGTTGCAAATTTCTGAACTTATCAGCAATTTGCTGTCTCCGAACTGAAAGAGTTTTCGATGGTATATCATAGTTTCTCAAAATGAATTTTTATTGCATTCTGCATCCGTAGGTTTGATAAGGCCGTAATAATGCACAAGGGTGTGTGTGTGTGTGTGTGATTATGGCAAAGCCTCGAGGGCTATCTGCCTAAAGGGAGGGATGCCTTCGTGGAGGACTTTCTAAGGGAAACTGGCTCGTATACACGTTACACATGGGGAAAACCACGAAAACGCCCATGCAGCCAGCCCGTTCGCGGGATTCGAACCTCGGACCGAACTACCAGTGTTCAGAGACTTTACCGCTCTGCCACTGGTGAGCCCCAATAATGCAGAAGGAATTTATTTGTTGCTTTTCAGTTTTTATAGATTACTGGAATCTAGGCTGAAAGCATGTTTGTCCAAAAAAAAAAAAAAAAAAAAAAAGTCTCTCTGAACTTTAAGAATCAGAACTTTTTTTTTTTTTTAATGAACAAAGTAACGTACTTATTTTGAACCCTTAAAGTGAGGCGAAATCAAGTTATCTTATAGTGGGATTTATTTCTGACAGCTCAGGGGTTGTATCATGGTACAGAAGGAAGAATGTTTCAAGATAATCAGATTCTATATTATAGGAGTAAATATTAACTAATAATACCGGAATTGTTATGATAATACCGGAATTGTTATTATGGTTTCATCAGACTGGTTTTTGTCGCCTTTTAACTGTTAGCTTTTGCCATTGTTTAGACTAAATTTTTTCTTTTATTCTATATTTATGAATGTAAACAAAAAGCTAGTAGATAAGAAAATAGAAGATAAAAGGAAAAGAAGGGAAGTAGAAAAATCTTGAAAAGAAAATTACTTTAATTTGCATGACGTTGATCGAAAAATAATCAAAACGTTCTTTTTTCGTAAGTCTCATGTCAGCTGACTTGCATATTTTGTTGGCCACGAAAAAGAGCCGACAGTCGAAAAATTTCTTTTCAGCACTCTCACAATCCATTACACTTATTTCACTCTGCTTGTCAAAATTAAGGGGTAATATTAAATAATATTCTTCTTCACTAAAGTTTTTAACCCTTGAACAATAGCGTAATTCTTTATGTCAATTTTAACTGATAACGTATCGCACAATGTACGTATATTGGAATTAGAATGTTTATTGTTGTTTAAAGTTAATGGGGTTTCTAAGTGTGATCAGTAACCTTTAATTATAACTCAATGGCATCATTAAGTGAAGAGCAAGAGTATCAGTTAATTTATGGACTCAAGAGGAAGGGAAATACAAATGGAGATAGACCAACAGCTGAAAATTCCACAAAGTATAATACAAAGAACTTGGAACGCTTTACAAGCAGGGAATTAGCAAGTAGACAGCCTGATTAAAGGCAGACTAGAGCAACACATGCATCCGAAGGCAATTTCTGTCAATGTCATCTGACAGTGTTTCTGTCAATGTTTTAACCGTACTCAATTTTATTATTCAATAGCTTTCAATTTTTAATGAAGATAATTTGAGTTTTACGTTTTTTTTGACCTTGCCGCGAACCGAGAATTGAATTAGTTGAATGATCTTTAATGAAATTAGAAGAAATAAGTGTTTCGTATGAGTAGCAACTATTGTCGCCAGCCTATCTCGAGCAGAGGAGAATGTTTATGAGTAGCGCATGCGCATTGGGTAAGCGGCACTGAATCGTCTGCGAAAAACTGTTTCTTTTGTATTTGTTTAATTTCTTTTAAAATCGTTTTAGATTTACAGGACGTGGCAAATAAAAGTGGCCAGGAGAACACTGTTTTCCGAGACACTTTTATTTGCCCCACCCTATATTATATTACTTGAATAGAACATGTGGAAACAATTAGATAATTATTCAGATGATGTAATTTTTGTGTATTCTGAGTTACAAAATGAATAAGATGTAATGCTGTTAAGTGAAACAAGCGCCAGAGTGTCGCTATGGTAAATAAATATAGTGAATTTTAAACAGTGAATTTATTCTATCGTGGTTTATGAGCTTTCAACGAAGTAGTTTTAATTCAATTCAATAAGTTTCAATGAAACGCAGGAAAAATGCGTATAATTTAATATTTCGTACAAGGAAGTCATGTGGTGTACAGATCAGATTTTTTTTCTTTGTAAAGCTTAAGAATGAGTGAGATATGAGAGCTCGGGCTGTGGTAAAGTTGTAAGCCAAGATACGCAAATTGTTTTAAAATAACATGCCAACAGTTTGCATTTTCATTTTTTGCTGTACCGATTACTCTGATTATTGTAAAATTGACATCACCAGGTTAGTAACCTGCAGAATGTTTTGCCTTTTGTTTACTACTTTAATTATTAGAATGCGTAAAGTTTTCAATTGCTGCCGACTTATTGTATGCATGATGTAATTTAAAAATACAAATTGTTATTTTTTAAAAAAGCATTATAAAACAATTTTTTAAAGAAATTTCATCTTTCAAACGATAATTAGATTTTAAAAAACTATTGTTTCTTAAAAGAGTAGCTCTATATAATTGCCAAATTCCTGTATGTGTCTCCCCACTCGCACTTTAATCATACCCGCTACACTATAAAAATGTCAGATGTAACTCCTTTATTTTTTTGGTGCGTGCGTACGTGTGTGTTTTTTCAGTTAATTGTTATTAAAGTAATTAATGGGTTTTCATTTTGGAAAATTTCATATCTTCATTTCTTTATTTTGAAACATAAGTTTTTCAATTACAGTTTTTTTTCTTCCTCCCGAGAAGAAACCTCTTTTAATACGTTTCCTTTTTTTTTTCACATACAAGACACCTACTAGCAGTCATAATCACACGAATATCCGTGTGATACAACATATTTCTGTGGAACGCTCACAACTTTGATAGTTTGCACAGGATATGTCACGACTTTTACTGGTTGAACATACTCGTATTTTGGGTATTCTTTTTCTTGGTATATAACTCCAGCTACAGCCACGCCGATAACAAGAAGAAACACCTAGAATAAAAACACTTGAGTTAAAAATGTTGTTTTGGAAAATATAAAAACGACATTTTTCTTTTAGAAAATTATATATTATGCATATTTCTTAGAAGCAATATTTCTTAGAAGTTGAGTACATTTGGAAACAAAACGTCACATTGATATTCAAATCATGATATCAATAATTAAGTGAAATAAATGGTACAATTCATGAATGATGTTTTTATTAGTACTTCTTTAGCGTTTTGTTTTCTAAAATGTTTGCGAACTTACATAAAAACTATAAATATGAAATATGAAATCCTTAAGACAAAAAAAAAAAAAAAAATGTTCAAGCTATATTCAATATTTTATTATTAATTTATATATATATATATATATTACATCTCGTGAAAAATAAAATATTTACACTTCCATAAAGTATTTTCTTAGCATATTACATTTGTATATCTGAAATATGTCTCGCTTCATCTGGATTATGACATTATTACTAGCTCAAATTTATAATTGTTTAATACTGGAAGAAAATTCTTTAGATCAGCCACAATTACACTTTCAAATAGCACTATATTTTTAAAAGTTTACTAACATTAAAAATTCAATTTGTTTTTTTGCGATCTCGCAAAATTTATGTATTTTTGAGTAAAACTAGATAAACCTAAATGAATATTTCAATGCAAATTATTCTGCCTCTTTTGTTCTTTTTTATCTGTCTTATATTTTATGATGTTTTCATAAAAGCTTTTTCTAAAAATGTCGAATACAAACAGAAAGAAAGATTTTTTATTCGATTTGTTTGACAATTTGTATCAATTTCAAATTAGTTTTCTTTCAGTCAAATAGGTGAAAGAAATTTAACAATTTTCTAAGCCTCTATAAATGGAAGTACAATATTAGAAATTGAAGTGCCTTCTCTAATACTTTTTATAAGTCGTTTTAAATCAGATATTAAAGTTTGTTATTTTTTTATTTCTTTAAAAAATATATATTTGATTGGGCGTTGGATTAAAAAATCTGCAGAAAGGAAAAATCGCTTAAATTGTTCTTAATGTCACCTTTCAATGTTTTCATAAGTGGCAACTGAGACTAGCTTATCGAATGAAAAGAATCAAAACTCATTTTTGAATCATAAATAAATAAATATTGCATTTATTTTTTAAACAATGTAATATTTTTATTAGAGAGGTAAGTAAAAAATCTAATGCCTTGACGAATAGCAATAACTCTGAAAACCTGAAATTTACCAGTTTGAGGATGTAATTATTTGGCTTGTTATATGTGATCGTATGCTATTCATATGTAACGATATATTAGTGAATTAAATAAAATCAGAAAGATACCGTGCATGTTTAACTAAATTAATTTAATAGATATGGGTTAGAATGTTTTATCTTTCTATATAAACTAAATCAATGGAAAAAGTTAAGAAAATAATTTATCGCAAGTTTAGATTTCCATGGCTTCTAAATAAAATGAAAACTAAGAATTCCAGGTAATTCCACTCTAGATAATTAATAATACTCTAAATATTTTAGTGCACTTTTTATACTTTTATTCTAATAAAACAGCAACATAAGAAAGTGAGGCAGTGAAAATGAGTTGCTATAAATAAGGACACAATGAAAATTTGAATTTTATGCGAATGCCGAAAGAGAAATTCCTTTTTTATGTTAAATATTAATTTAATATTAACAGAAAATATGTTTCAGAAATATGTTTCAGAAATAAATAATGTTTCATTGCAATTTCTTTATAATCACTTTGAAAGTCTAAATTAAAAATACCGGAAATATTTTCCCTAAGTTTCATTTTGTAAAGAAATTTAATTTTAAGGGGGAAAATAAAATTATTTTTATGCCATGATATAAACGATGAAAATATAACCAAACTGAAATTTTGTATACTTAATTCATCTGTAATTAAAAGCAAACATAATATAAAGCTTTTTGCATTATTAAACACATCGTTATAAGTTTCGTTAGTAATTAAAATCACGTATTAGTGAAACAAGTTCTTAAATTATATAAAAAATAAGTAAAGCTATTACATGCAGACATACTGAAAACCTAAAATACGTACCATATATTTCAGCATGTTGTTTAATAATGAGGGTCGAAAATAGCAACTGTTGTGAGGGGTAGTTCAATGTTTTTGCTGCGAATGAACACAGAAGTCGACGAAACCCTTTTATATCGGGCTGCGAGTGAAATCTGCAGACCTATAAACTTACCATTCAAAGCTTTATCTATCCTTTGAACCGAAAATGTATTTTCGGTACATCTTGATCCACTGCCTTCTTGTCATTCTCAGCGCCATAGATATCAAATCTTGGCTATGTACATGATTTCTTCATCTCCTTAGTTAACCTTATTATGAAGTGTTAATATGTTATGTTATTTTCAATACCTGAAATGCACAAATTGCCTTACATAATCATGACAGATCTATATCGCTGACCTACTTCGATTATGCATATATATATATGTAAGCATTAGAAAATCTTTAACTAATCTTGGTATCTTTATCAGAAATCAGTAAGCGAATGTATTTGTTACAATGGATGAAAACAAGAAAACTTTAATTCAGTTTAAACAATATGCAGGATTGTTGATTTTGTGGAACGTTACCGAAGAGAAAAAAAAAATTACCTTAAAATGGGATATAAAGTTTTACTATAATTTCTGTATGTGCATTGCTACATTCATTTAACTTATGTATTAATAACATTTAACTTATTAATTAAATATTTTAGCACAGTTTCAGAACTTTTCCGAAAATAAAATAGGAAAAAGAAACTGTATTATATAGTTTAACGTACATAGAAAATCATTTTATTTCTGAATACTTCACTCCATATTTTATTTTTGAAGGCTTGTTTATGATGCTTTGAGTTTTGTCAGCACTTGAGAAACTACTGTCAATCCTATCCCTTTTCGGTGTTATCATTTTTTAAATAAAAAGTCGATCATACATGTATACACTTAAAATGCTATAATGATACGTATAACGCATTTAATGCTTATAGCTTATAACTTAACTTTTGTAACACTTACACTAAAAAATATCGTGTTGTCGAATTTTTGGAAAAGATAATATGTATAACGGTTATAACGTATCGTCATTTTCTGGTCGAATGCGGTGTATCACTTTTGAAATAACGCTTATAAAGCATACAATGCTTATAACTTATTCTTAGTTTTGGTGTGTATAACTTTTCAAAAAACGAGTATCGATCGCTTATAAGGACCAGAACTACCATGTTGTTGAACGTTTGCTTTTAAAACGATACCATATATAGTTTACAACGCTTATATGTAATAAATATATAAAAAGACAGAAAAAGAGAGAGGGTGGAAGAGATAATTACCTCAGAGGGTTTGAAAACCCTCTAAGAGGATTTAGAAATCTAAACTAGTAGAAATATTGAAGATTATATCATAACATTATTTTGACAAAAGGGCTAAGAATTTAAAAATAATTAGCGATGTTTCTGCTGCTTTCTTTAGTTAGCGAAACCTTTTTATTTTGATTTAATTAACTGAAAGTATTTTACTTTTATAGTACTTAAAATCTGCGAGAGGAAAATTTTAATTACTGCAAATGGTTTCTGAGTAGTATAACTTTAATTAAAACTGGGAGAAATGTCTTTGCATAGAGTTGTTTCCCCGGTATGTTAATCTTATCGCAGTATTAATCTTTGAAAATTTACAAAGAAGACGAAAAACAATAATTTATATTAACTAAAAGCATAAAAACCTTAACCGGAACATAAGTACAATATAATGTAATCACTTTTAAAGTAAAAAAAAAAATGCACAATTTAGCAACATTTAAGATTAAAAACTCTGAGCTCACCTAGCCGGTTTTCAAAGTGGGTATATTTTTGGCGCGACCGATTGCAATCAAAAAGGGAAGCACATAACTACATATTATAGTAGTCCCATATGCAAAATTCCAAAGCTCTGGAGCAACTCGTTTTTGGGTTATGCGAGATACATACATACGTATGTACGTATCTACGTACAAATGTCACATAAAACATTTCTTCTGAATCCATTTTAAATCCATTTTAGCAATCGTTTTGGGAAAAAAGTCTTTTATTCCGTCCGTACGTACAGGTGTCACGCAGAAACATCGTTTAACTGGATTCAAGAGCGGTGGTCAAAATGGATATTTTCATTGAAATATGATACCCGAAAATTTTCGCGATTATTACATGTTATAGCAGTCCCATATACAAAATTTCAACGTTCTGAAGCAAATCGTTTTCGAGTTATGCGAAATACATACATACGTATGTACGTACGTAGGTAAAGATGTCACCCAAAACATTTCTTCTGAATCCATTTTACCAATCGTTTTGGGAAAAAAGTCTTTTATTCCGCCCGTACGTACAGGTGTCACGCAGAAACATCTTTTAACTGAATTCGAGAGCGGTCAAAATGGATATTTTCATTGAAATATGATACTTCAAATTTTTCGCGATTACAATACTTCCTTTACTTCGTACAAGGAAGTAAAAAACTGATTATTTCTTCAGTTTGGAACTAAACGCATATAAATTTCAGCGCACTAAACGCATATAAATATATTTATATATATATATCCACTCTGTTACTCGGCTCAGTGATCTCAGTTTCTTTACTCTTATATGGCCCACCAGCGGCCGAGCGGTAAAGTCGCTGAACACTAGTAGTTCGGTCCGAGGTTCGAATCCCGCGAACGGGCTGGCTGCATGGGCGTTTTCGTGGTTTTCCCCATGTGTAACGTGTATACGAGCCAGTTTCCCTTAGAAAGTCCTCCACGAAGGCATCCCTCCTCTTAGGCAGATAGCCCCCGAGGCTTTGCCATAATCACTCACACATTACTCTTATATGTTTGTAAATTGTACATTTTTTGCTTTAAAAATCATTGAATTATGTTGTTCTTATCTTCCGGTTAAGGTTTTATGCCTTTTGTAAATCTGGAAGCAATATTTTTACAATTATCAGCAATTTAAAATCTGTTTAAGTGCGGTTAAGTTTTAAATAACATGGCGGACATATTTGTTTACATTTGAAACAGCAGAATAGTAGATTTGTTGCCAACCTAGAGAGACTAAGCTACGCAACAATAAAAATAACGCATTCATTTATTATTGCGAATTAAATCATGCTTAATTCTTTCTGGAATTTTTTCGATGAAATAAGTGTTTAAGATTTACTTCGTAATTTTTAATACAGATATTTTGAGTTTTATGTATTTTTGCTTGTCGCGAAATGTAAACTGAATTAATTGCATGAGAAATACTGAATCGTCTGTGAAAAACTGTTTCATTTTTGTTTTGTTTGCTTAATTTCTTTTATACATCGTTCTAGCTTTATTATTGTATTTGAACAGAACATGTGGCAACAATTAGATAATTCTTCGAATGATATAAATTTTGTGCATTCTGAGTTATAATATGAATGCACTCATAGGGAGAAATTCTAAACTTAGTCTCGCTATAAAAAGAGTTATTTATCTACAGGCTATCCCCCCGATTTTACTGTATGCTTCTCCAGCGTGGGCTGCAACTGCAAGAACTCATCGCGAAAAAATACGAAGAATTCCAAACAAGGCCATCCGGATAATTACAAATGCGCCTTGGTTCGTTCAAAACAGCATTCTTCACAATGATTTAAAAATTAAACCCACGAATTCTGAAATTCTAAGATTCTCATAACTTTTTTATGAAATGTGACAGTCATCCTAAGAATATCATCAAAAAACTAGGAAATTATGATTTCACAATTGCACAACGCACTATTCACCATAATAGTCGGTGGTAATGTATATATTTTCGTTTTCTTCTTATTTAGCCAAGATTTTACTTCATTTTCCTTACTTATAGATTTACTTATCAAATTACAGCGGCCGAGCGGTAAAGACGCTGAACACTGGTAGTTCGGTCTGATGTTCGAATCCCGCGAACGGGCTGGCTGCATGGGCGTTTTCGTGGTTTTCCCCATGTGTAACGTGTATACGAGCCAGTTTCCCTTAGAAAGTCCTCCACGAAAGGCATCCCTCCCTTTAGGCAGATAGCCCTCGTGTGCTTTGCCATAATTAAATACACCAACACCATACTTATCAAATTACAAAGCGCTATGGACTTTGTTCCTGCCAAAGCAGGTAGACTTTGTGTGTAAATAGTTTTTAACTCTTGTGAAACGTTTCAATGTACTGCAAATTGTGTTTTTCATCATTTTACTTGCCAATTATTGCTTATCAGAAGAATAATGTTTATGAAATTTTTAAAATGCCTTACAATACATCCTGCAAGAGATGGCGCAACCAGGAGCTTTAGTCAACTAAAATGCTTTTGATCCCTACTAATAGATGGCACCACACGAGCACCTCATTTGTTCAAAATTTACTTATTCTATGGACCGCGGAACAGGAGCCTCCGTCGCTAGTAATCTCTGAGTTCTAACACAGCATGTGTACAAGTACTTCCATATTATTGGATACAACTTACTCGATTCTTCAAGCATTTAAAAGTCAAGTATCATATATTGGTAAAGGCCGTTAATGGTCGATAATATGAATGAAATATTAAGTGAACCTAGTGCCAGAGTGTCGCTATGCCAAACAATATAGTGAATTTTAAAGAGTGCATTTATTCTATTGTGGTTTATGCGCTGTCGACGAAGTAGATTTAATTCAATCCAATACGTTTAAATGAAATGCAAGAAAAATGCGTATAATTTAATATTCCGTACAAGGAAGTCATGTGGTGTACACATCCGATTTTTTTTTAATACAATTTGATAAATGCTAAGATAATTTTATTCTATTTGCATAACGCGATATATATTTACAGAGATCTAGTCATACGTAACAAAAGCTAAAGCTAATTCTTTAATTCCAAACTGCCTTACCATGGGAATTTTTTATGAAGTTTCAGCTTTACCGGAAAGGGCTGATATTGGTGACAAAAACACCTGAAGCTCAAAACAAACAAAAACGTTTGTTTACTCTCTGTTCATTGGTCAGTTACAAGACTAAGGACATATAGTCTGGCCCAAAAATAACGTTCAGTATTAAAAGAACTGTTCATTTGCCAAAAAATTACAGTTTAGAAGCTTCAAAACAGATATAGAAAACGTTAATTCCACCTGTTCTGTAGCAATTCATATCAGAAGAAGAAATTTTTATTTTTTATTCTAAAATCATTTACTGATGAATATTTTGAGTATGGGGATCAAATAAAAAAGAAAGAAAAAAAAGAGGGACGGATCTGCATCAGGGCCGTATAGTGAATGAGGTAGTGACGTCATACACTGTTGAGCAAAAATGTCTCTCACAAGCAGTAAAGTGTGATTTGACACGTTCCCTGATGAAGACGGCCTGTAATTTTATAATGGCATCGCACAACTCTTTTGTCAAATATTCGAGTACCTGTAAGTGCATGCTCCTACAGATATTCAAACATTATTCTTAGCTCTGTGGTGCTGTTTGCTTCGAAAACCATATTTGAGAATTTGAATACTTTTTGTCATCTGAAGACCTGAGCTTAAGTGTATACTCCTAAACTGATTTTCAGAACTGTGACATTTCCAGGTTCAGAGTCTCGGGAAAAACTTTGCCACGTACGCTTCTCAAGTATTTTCTGCATTTCGCCCATGAGAAAGTAAAAATTTTGCAACCGGTTTTGCTAACGCAAAGACTGTTTACAAAAGTGAAAAATAAACAGAAGGCAAAGTATACACTTGATTCTATCTCCATATCTCGATCTTCACGTTTCTTCATATCCTTTCTGAGTAGTAAAACAAAAGTTTGTCATTCTTTCTACTAGGACAGGTTGTACAAATCATCCATTGCTTCCTGCGAGATTAAAATTAAAAGTATTTTATATTGCAGGAAATAATCTGCTTTGTTAAAAATAAAATAAGGCTTCAAATGTGTCATCGATTCTTAGAAAATTCTAACTGAAATTATTACTATAAAACTAAATTCCGTTAGCAAAATATTCAGCCTATAAGCAATTTCAACATACTTAATAGAGCCTTGGCTGAAGACAGCAAGTGAATAGCCATATCTATCAACTCCTTAATTCTCATTTAGGTATGCTGGTAATTTACAGGCGGAAACCAGAATAATTAATAAAAAAATATACTAAAGCTAAATGGAAGCTTATAATTTAATGTTAGTGTCCATTCTAATGCGAAAAATATTGATACCAAGTAATGTTATATCTTCTCTTAATTCATTTTCCTTAGGAGAATAATGATGTTTCATGAAAATCATGATCACTTAATATTATGCTTGATTTCTTGTAAGGATCTTAAGTTTTACTAACGTTTATTTTTATTTTAAAACTTTACTATCCTCTCTTATTTTCTACTTCCAGAATTAACGCGTTAAATTGTTTATGCAAATTGTAGTACTTGCTAACGCTTAGGTATTTAATTTGTGGCTTTTTGCGAAGAGCAGAGTTAGACGGGGAGAGAGTGAGCTTTCTTACGACTATATTTCACGCAAGTTTCAATCAGTTGCTGTCTGCCTTTAAGGCCAGAGGTTTTAGTCCCCTTGAAAGCTAAAGGCGTATTGTAGTTTTCCGCAGTTTGCGTACCACATACGTAGCAATTTAAAAGGCCAGTCTTAGCGTTAGCCATTTGTGTAAAGCACTCAACTCTTATTTTTAGTTAGTTAAGAGTTTTTATATTTTTAAATTCAGACCACTAGTGATTGTTTTTTGCATCCCGAAGTGCGAGAGCACCTGTAATATCGATGAAAATAAAGCGTAATTTAACCCTTCTCATCTTATCGTCTCTTCTACACTCCATAGGGCATAATTTGCAGTCAGACTCACTGTCTAAGCAGGACACGTCATGTTTCCCAAGCAGATTAAAAGAACTATAAGTCCTGATATTATATCCTCATATTTAATCACACAAAATTTATTACTGATACATTTAAAATCTGATAATGAATTGGAAGGAATTTTGTGATTAATGCCTCTTTTGTAAATGCGTACTTTATTTTTTACAAGTTTCAGTAATCACCACAAATATAATTGAAATCCTTAAAGCGTTTGAGCAAAACTACTTTGCCTCCATTCTCCATTAGATGAAATGATGGGCTGTATGCCTGAATGAGGGAAAAGATGAGAACAAATAATATTTCATCTCAAAATCGATAAAAAGGAAATAAGATATCGACTATGAATAAATAGAATTATATCTGAAAAATACGAAACCTGAAAAATGGCACTAATATGGTACTAATGGCTTAAAAATACAAACCAAAAATGGTATAGAGATTAATAATACAAAAGTCAAGAAACGCAGGTGGATGAAGATACTGAAAAGGAACATGTGAGGATGAGAGCGAAGAAAATGTGAGACTTAACTTTCTGAAATGATAAAGAGAGAATACGTAGGAGTTGTTGGATTGTCAAAGGAAAAATTATATTGTCTTAAATCCTTTAATAATAAAGCGAATTATGCTAAACGATATCAGGATTTCATTTACTAATACGTAAACCTAAACTCTTTTCATGCTATTTTTTTCAGAAATTTTTTTAAGGATTCTGTCATGCTATGAGTATTTTATGGTTGAACACCTAATCGTATGTTATTTAAGATCATCCGTTTTCAGATATCCAAGTTTTTTCTGAAGATCTTAGAATTATTTTAAAAAATATTTTGGATAAAGAATTATTCATGCCTTTTATGCTGCAGTACATGTCGTAGCGCATGTAATTTTAAGGACAACTTGTACATGCAGACTTATAATGTATATTTTGATAATAATTTATATCTGGTAATATATTTCAATTTATTCCAATTTATTACAAAATCAAAATTAATTAGTTAAGAATGCGTATGTTTAACTACAAGTGTAGATGTGTGAAGTATCTTTTGGATTTCAGAAGTATTTAAATATTATCTATAATGAGGAAAACGAGCAATAATTATCTTTCAGAAATTGGTTCAAATCTAAAATATAGTTTTTAAAATCTTATGGAGAGAAGCAGCTTCCAACATTGATCATAAACCACTTAGTATACAAAACATTCCTTTGCAAAAGCAGCTTAGTATCTTTAGTTGTTTTTGATTTAACAAGCTTTTTATTTTTAATATAATGTATATATACTTTGAATATTATATTAAATTTTCGAAAGTTGTCACTAGAACAAAAAAGACACAAAAGATTACGTTTAAAGTAATTAGTTACCTTTTTGTTAATTCTTTTATGTTTTTTTACAGTGTAAATTAGGCAGGTTTTAAAATCACATGTGCCATTTAGAGTCTTGCATTGGTAAAACAGGTATGAGAATTTGCAAGCAATCAACAAAATCTTGTTCATTTAAACATGGATATTAGGCAGACTTTAAAATCACGTGTACTATCTAGAATCTTGCATTGGCAAATAAAGTATGAGCATTTGCAAGCAGTTAACAGAATCTTGCTGCCATGGGATTAACTCAGGTTATAAACTGAGACGAACTGCTGTTTTGGTTGGACCAAGTTTATTAATTCTTTAATAGCTGTTAAAAAATTTAACTCTTGCTTTGTAGTGCCTAAGGTTTAACTTGTCGTAAATAACGGTGAATTAGAAATTGAAATTTTCAGTTTTGTCATTCCCGCAACTCTCAGAATAAACTTTTTAATTTTATTGTATTCCTCGATGAGGTATTGAAGTTACGGTACAGATCACTTCGCCATGATGGCATTATAGAACTTGAGTGTAATAAAGTACAGTAGAACGTTAAGAGTTAGGTTGGGTAAATTTTATATGAAATATGTTAAACATTCAAGTAAAAGTACTAAAAGTACAGGAAAGAGAACAAAAATAACTCGGTATGTTATTACTTTTATTCTGTTCATTTAAGAAAAGACATTACAATTATATTTTTGCTACCAATGCAATTCGTAGACATGCTCTAACAATGTTTTTACTCTTTATGTTAAATCACAGGTAAAACAAATTACTAGCAGTCATAATCACAAGAATAATCATGTGGTACAACATATTTCTGAGGAACGCTGATGACCTTCACAGTTTGGACAGGATATTTCACGATTTTTACTGGCTGCACATATTCATATTTTGGGTAATAATCTTTTTCTTGGTCAATGACTCCAGCTATAGCGACGCCGATTACCAGGAGGAAAACCTAGAATAAAAAATAGTAAATTTCTTTAAAATCACAAACAAATTCATTGTTTCTTGTAAAACTATTGGTTACTTACAGGTTACTTGTAAAATTATTGGTTACTTGAATTAGAAAAGTTTCAAACATTAGAAATGTTTCTTTATGTATGTCTTTTAGTCATTCGTATCGTATTTCTTTATTTTTCTCCGACCACTGATTCTTGGCAAAAAGATGCAAGATTCTTTAAGCTTGAATTGACCGTTTGAAGAACTGTCTTTAAGCTTTATAAATAACTTGCGCAAAATAACAGTTTCTAAAAGACGACTTCATTTGAGCGTTTCTAGGGTTCCTGGCTAACTGCTAATTGCTGGTCATCTAGAGAATTTTTAATTTAAGAGATCACATGCTCTCAAGAAAATAGATAAAAAACTTTGAAAAAACACAGCTTTTATTTTTGTAATTCTCGGCACATGGCCTTTAAATATTAAACTTTCCCTCACACAGTTCATTTCGCTCAGTTATTATTCGGCTGCCGATGGAAATAAAAATATATTATATGTATGCAAAAAGTATGCTGGGATTAAAAAGAGACATTATTTTAGATTTATAAATTTTTGGTAATATTTCCTTACAATGTAGATTCAGTAATATAGTAATATACATTTCCGTGACTTTTGCTGGAATAAAATCTTAAATATATTTTTTATTTTGCAAAATTATCAATAATTATTCTTGAAATTATTGCTTTATTTTTGCTAAAATTTAGTAATTACAATCTAACTATTTCGTCACTGAAACTAAAACACTCTGCATTCTAGAATCAGTTATACAGTTCTTAAGTCAAACTGCTTTTTTTTTTTTTTTTGAAGATATTAATTTTCAAATATGTTAATGTGCATATTCTGAACATCTATCAATGCAATGCAGTATGGAAAAACGTACCACCAACGTAAACCAAACTTTATATGCATTCTGATTAATTATTGGTTTCAAAAACAGCATTTAGTTGAAGAAGTAATCCTAATGTATTCCGTTGTCAAAACTGGAAGCTTTCTTTCATGCAAGCGAAATGTATTTTTTCATAAAGATTTCATGTTTAGAATTTAAAAATTATTTAGAATGATATATTCAGCCTACCATAAATGTTATTTTCCGTGATATTTCCTTTCAGTTTTTTTTCCTAAATTCGAAATCATTTTGAGTAAAAATAATAACAAAATTTATTTAATTAAAAAATTAACTAAATTTTATTAAAGTTCTTAAATCCAGGTGCTAAAAAACACGATGCCTAAAAAAGAATAACGAAAGGTTTTAAAATTTTCTCACTGGGATATTATCTTTGCCTTCTATAACTAAGTTAAATTTAAATTTTTTTTTTAACGTTAAGTGAAGCTTATTGGGATATTCTAAATATTAGATAAATAGTGCAAAAGGTCTAGAAGCATTTTAATGAGAATCAGATTTATTTTTAATATTTTTTAATGAATTTTTTGATAATTAATATAAGTATATAAAAATTTTTGTAAATATAAAAGACCAAATGGTTTAAATATTTCATAAAAGACCAATTAAATTTTTCGCAGTATTTGAATTTGTGGGTCAACTCTGAATTTTGAGAGGAAATGTTTTTCCAAGAGTTTTTGATTTGGTATTTTGTAATAAGTAGCAGGTTGGTATTCTTCAATAAAAAGAAGTGCAATAAGTAGTAAACTTGTATTTATTGAAATGGGGGGGGGAAGTATTTTATCCGTATAGTAATTAATTTTTATATAAAATAAGAATAATCAATAAGCGACTATAACGGTTTAGTAAAAAGTTTAGGATATTGTAAGTATAAATATAAATGATTACAGTGATTTTTCTCTAAAATTTCTTTCGTATGCATACTTCTTTGTTAACCAAGATAAAGTTAAAAAGCTGAATTAACAATCCTGTCCTTCCAGAATTCAAGTGAATTATTTTATTACACCAAAGCTGCTAAGACTACCTTTTTATAATTCACGTATAAAAAACGATATTGATATTAAGACATAGCTTATTGACAGCTTGATAAGCTATAAAATTTTAAATATTTTTATTTTGTTAACTGTTTAAAATGAATAAAAATTTAAATAACCTGCTGCAATCGGCAATAAAATATAGGCATACGAGATGTTAAATTTAGTTAAATTGACAGAGGTATTCAAATAGCGATTGTAGTAGAGAGCTGGTTATATTCTAAACTAAATTAACAATGAATAATATGGTAAAAATGAAATGCTTACCAAGAATTTGAGCATATTGTCTACTATTCAAAGTTATAAGGGATACTGAATCGTTTCTATGTTTTTCTATACGAATGAGTGTCGAAGTAATAGAAACCCTTTTATAGGAAGTAAGAGCGTCTAAATGATGTTTACAAGCCGTGAAACCAAGCATTCAGTGCTTTATCTAGTCTCTGAATCGGGAACAGTTTTTGTTGTTTTTTTTTTTTAATACGTTTCATTCAAAGTAGCGTAGATTTACTGCTATGATTATATAAAAACGATTAATGTTTCATTATCACCAGATTTTGTGATGAAATATATACCATGTTATATGTGATATTTGAGTATCACAAATCATATCTTTTGCTATGCGTGTTTGCCACAGATATATGGCTTTAGCCTATCTTAATTATGCACATACACCTAAATGCATCAGAATAATTTCTTTAAATGACGTAATAGCGTTCCAATAGATAAAAGATAATTGAATAGTATTTCTTACATGTGTTAAATTATTATTATAGTTAAAAGACCACGACAATAGAAACGATAATTGATAATTTCTACATGTGTAAAGAAAAGAGAATGAGCCTTAAATTTCAGAATTATTATAAAGAAGCAATCAAACGCAGTAAAAATTTCATAAAAATTTCGTAAAAATTTCATATTCATGAATAAGACTTTCAAGGATTATACACTCGTATCATTTCGAAAGGAAATGACCATTAAATGGGAGAAGACAGTTTGAATTATACTCAAATAGAAACTTCTTTATGCTAATATCTGTCCGATTGTTCGTACTTTTGAGGGCAGTCTGATTTTAGAATTGCAGTTAATTATTACATCTCAAGCATGATATCTTAAGATCTCAAAATCAAAGTAACTGCGTCTATTTTCTCTACTTTTTAATATCTTAATTTGATTATGACTAGAGATATTTCTATTCTTAAGTGCTACATTTTGGTATTTCATTATTTTCATTATCTCGCTTTTAAAACCAAACTCATGATTTAACCCGATAATTTTATAAACTGTACCGATAATTGTTACTATAAACCAAAATTGAACAGTAATAACCGCTGCTCATACACAAAAGGGGAAAACCGAGCTGTCGTTTACTTTAAAGATACTCATTAAATCAGATAAATGAGACGGCTCGCTTGAAATTGGCGAACGAGAAGTTTCTTTAAAGGAATAAAAATTTTATTTCAAGTATTTGTAATAAACCTTTTCATTAAAAACCCATATCTATCTTTAAAATCTTTAAACTACTGTTCTAATCATAGTCTCGCGATAAACTGAGACGTTGCTACTCTTTTTCAAACAAAGTATTAACTGAGGTCATTTACTTACCGTAAGTGGCGCAACATTCTCCCCACTTGAGTTTTAGAACCTTTAAGAGAAAACCCAACAAAATATAAACATTAAATGTAAATTTCTGAAATACAGGAAATATTCAAAATATAAAATATCTATTTCAAGTTAATGTTCACATTATTCGAATGTTTGGTAACTTATAAGGGGTACAGCCTTTGATTAGTAAAGATTCTTTGAGCAATATCTTTGTCTGGAAACTTTAAGAAGCCGTCTGTATTTTTCGAATGATTTTTACACTGCAAAGAGGCTCATTTCATATCTTGAAAGTTTCTCACTTTTTATCACAGAGAAAGCATTTTAACAAAGAATTAACAGATATGAACAACTAAGTTTTTTTCGGAGGAGATCTTTAAGTATGCAGATTTGTCTTTTCCAGAATCCTCCCCACCATGGGGCAGATGGTGGGTTGAACTTCCATTTAATTTGACTAACTTCAAAATTCTCTTTGAATTTTTGTCCAGTCAAGCTGTTTTAAGAAGGAGTTATTCTTGATTTAGCTTGCAGTAGCTGAACCTTTACAGTGCTATCAGAATATTCATATATGTTTTAAAAATTATCTTACAATTTATTAAAACTACAGAATAAACTGTAGTCAGAGTATGATCATTTTAATAATTAATTTCATTAATTATTTTAATTTCGTGAATCTGGAGAAAAAATTACATTTATGTTTCTTTTTCTTGACATATAGCTGTTTTTAATACGTTTTTCACTATCTATGTTTTTGTTACAGTACTAGCAGTCATAATCACACGAATATTCATGTGATACAACATATTTCTGTGGAAAGCTCACAGCTTTGACAGTTTCACGGGATATGTCACATCTTTTACTGGTCCCACATATTCACAATGTGGATAACCTTTTCCTTGGTAAATAACCCCAGCTACACTCCCGCTGATAACCAGAAGAAAGGCCTGAAAAAAATTAGTAAAGTCAAAAACATATTTTTAAATACTATAAAATATCTGACTATTTTTAGTAAAATATTGTTTTGTATGAATTTTAATGAGGGAATGCATTTTTCCAATAAGTTTAAACAGTTCCAATACGTTTAAAAAGAATGCATCGGCACTTGTGATGATTTTATATATAAACAACAACAAAAAAGATCATATGATAGCGATATTGAAATTTTAATGCCAGTGTTCTGCTCGAAAGCCTTTTAAACCGTTCTTGTTAAAACTGGTGAAGAAACAAGTACTTGACCTTCAAAAACTCGGTTTCCATTTACAATCAAAAATTTAAATTTCGTTAACTATTTCCTTTCATTATTCGTTCTTTATTCTGGATTTATTTTTGGAACACACATTCGTTTTTTAAAACAAAGAAAAATACAATAACTAGTGAAATTATCCTACTGTAAATAAAATATTTTATCTTTATGATATGTTTACAGACGAAGAATTCGCTTTTTTACTTCGTTCTACGAAGTAAAAAGGAAATATTGTAATCGCGAAAAATTTCGTGTATTATATTTCATCGAAAATATCCATTTTGACCGCTAGCGAATGCAATTTAACGACGTTTTTACGTGACATCTGTACATAAGGACAGAAGAAAGGACGCTTTTTCTCCAAAAGAATCATAAGAAACTTTTTCGTGGCGTCTGTACGTATGTACGTACGTGTGCGTGTATATATCTCGCATAATTCAAAAACGAGTAGTCTCAGACGTTGATATTTTGCATGTGGGACTGCTATAACATGTAGATAAGCGCCTCACTTTTTGATTGCAATCGACCACACCAAAAGTACATAAATATATGTATATATATATCCACTCTGTTACTCGGATAAGTGAGCTCAATTTCTTTATTCTTATATGTTTCTAAATTGTGCATTTTTTTTTTTTTTTTGGCTTTAAAAATGAATGAATTATGGTGATCTTGTCTTCCGGCTAAGGTTTTTATACCTTTACTTAACCTGCCTGTTATAGTTGTAGAATTATCAACAATTTAAAAGTTGTTTAAGTGCGGCTAAGCCTAGTTTTTTTTACCACAGCAGCCATGTTTGTTTACATTCGAAACTTAGCATAATAGTGGATTTGTTGCCAATCTAGAGAAACTAAGCTTCGCAACAACAAAGTAACGTCTTCTTTTATTATTGCGAATTAAATTATACTTAATCTATTTTGGAATTATCATTTAAGTTATTAAATTATCCCATATATTGACTCAGCATAACGTCCACAGCAAATTAAAAGAGTTTCTATGCCTCCAGTGTCTTTTTGCCGAGTGAGACCAAAGTAAACTTTCAGTTTTATGCACCGAAAATCTGTTCTCTTACACGCTGGTCAAATCGTTTGTTTACCGTAAAAACTGCAATTTTAATTGTAAAAATTGATTTTTTAATTTCTTTAACTGTATTTGTTGTTTTATGTTTTTCTATATCTTTGAATTTTTATGAACATATTTGTGTTTTTATTATTTTTACCTAGCCGTGAAGTGAGAAGTGAATTAATTGAATGAGAAATGCATCTCTTATGAAAGTCGAGGAAATAAGTGTCTGATATTAACAGAAAATACTGTTGCCAGTCTGTTTCGGACACAGCAGAATGTTTATGAGTAGCGCATGCGTATTAGGAATCGTCTGTTAAAAACTGTTTATTTTTTATTTCTTTAATTTCTTTTATACATCGTTTTAGATTTATTATAGTTTTTTTAATAGAACATGTGGAAACGATTAGATAATTCTTCAGATGATATTATTTTTTTTGTATTCTGAGTTATAAAATGAATGAGATGTAACGCTGTTAAGTGAACCTGGTGCCGAAGTGTCGCTATGGTAAATAAATATAGAGAATTTTAAAAAGCACATTTATTCTATTGTGTTTTATGCGCTATCGACGAAATAGTTTTAATTCAATTCAAAAAGTTTAAATGAAATGCCGGAAAAAATGCGTCTAATTTAATATTTCGTACAAGCAAGTTATGTGGTGTACACATCAGATTTTTGTCTAAAATAATTATGACTGGTAAAAAATTTTGAGGTTTATTAAAGTAAGTATGATTAGAAATGGCCTTAAAAATATTAAATATAAATTATTACAATTATTTTTTCTATATTCTTTTATATATATTTCATTATTATCAAGCGATACTTGTAAAAGTCTGAATTCCTGAGTCAATTTTCTGAAAATTTATTTCCTATGTAATTAATTTGAAAGTTGATAATGTATATTTAAGTATATGATAATGTATGTACATGATAATGTGTTATTGAATTATGTATATTCAAGTTATATGGAACAATTTCTTCAACTGTTAAATTGATATGAATTATCTGGCCATTTTATTAAATACATAAAAGAAATAAAAATAATTTACAGGTCGTGCTAAAAATATATTAAATACCAAAACTCTGAAACACTTACCAGTAATTTGAACAAATTGTTGCGTGCGTACGGTTTCGTTATGAAATGAATGCACAAGTCCAAGGAAAAATGAACAAAAATTTATTATTATCACAACAAAAATGCTTAAATTTTCTCAAATTATCATGCAGTATTAAAATATCTCACAGTAGTTATCCTTTAACTACTGAAATGTCCAATAGAACGTAATTCAAAACAGTTAAAGAACGCTAATCCGCGAATTCGCTACAATCAACAAGAGCAGTTTTCTAAACAACAACAAACTAAGCAACTACTACAAACTGAGATGTTTTCCTCCTTTTATAAGATTTTAAAATCACGCGCTAGAATTTTCCAGTACTTTCTCGAAATCAAAAAGAGATATTTATTTATTTAATGCACGCGCTCTTGTA